TGGTTGAATGCCGCAGCTCACTGCGGGCCAGGCTCTAGGGACCGGCGACGGGAAAACGAGACTTGCTCGGCCACCCCGACGGCGCAGCCTTTGCTTTGGAGTCGGCTCAGAAAACCTGGGTGGGTTACCCACGCTCTTCAAGCTATAAAAGTGAAATTCAGTCCTGTACAGAAGTCCTAGGAATCATTTAAATCTTATTTAAATCCTTTCTACAGGGATGGATTACACAATAAAGGCACAGTCATCAATGATTCTTTCTACTACAGAGAAGACATCCAAAGTTTAGGGAGGCACATCTTGTTCTGTTAAATTTAGAATTAAAAAAAAAAAAACAGTAGCACATATAAAAAAAGAAGCGTGTAAGCTAATTACAAATAAGGATTTTTATAAATTTAAATTTAGCCCTCACAGACACAGAAGAGCAGTGAATCCCTAGAGATCCTAGGAAGACATTTTCACTCTTCTGCTTTATGGTAAGAACAAAGGATCATGACAGTACTGTGTTCAGAACTACTGGATCTGCTTCCAAAATAGGGGATAAATCATGGTAGTTTTCCTTTAAAAAATCACTTTTAATTTTGCAGTCTTAATTAATTGCATACATGGATGGGTCAGCTAAAAACATTTCAACATTAGAAATCTCATAGTACCACAATACTTGGTGAGGTGACTGCTAACAAAATTTGGCTAACTACTTCATTTGAAGAGATGAAGTGGATCAGCTTGGACCATGCTTTTATAATTCTGAAAACCAGGAATACAGTGGACCTGTTAAATCTCCTATCAACCTCCTATTGTTATAGCATAAGCTGGGAAGAACAGGAAAAAGCAGAAGAATTACAATTAGTGGTACCATAAGCAATAGAAAACATTGCTATTTCTTATTTCCCTGTTAACAATCACTGTATTTAATACGCATGCCTTCCCATACTATTTCGATAAAATACTGATACGGTCTGATGCCCTCATTTACATCAGATACACTATTATAAATTAATCCACTGGCGATCTGTTGATCCAGAGCCGTGAAAATAACTTTCAGAAATGGCCTGCTAACCCCAGAATCCTTATCTACAGTATGACTCCTATTCTTGGAGCTGTACCAGAGTTAGGAATTATAGAATATTTTGGATAAAAAGCTTTCAAGTATATTTGTATATAAAACAGCCTTATTAACATCATTGCCTGGTAATCTACAAGGAAAACTATTATACTAAACGGAAACGTCCCTCAATTTACAAGCACAGAAAACAAGGAATTAAACTGAAAGCTACTAGCAGCCTCCCCCAAAAATGTGTATAGAATATCAATTCCCCCCACCATTTTCAGCGAATATATAACTCCAAGAGGAATCTTTAAACTAAAGAATATTACCAATTTAGAAAAATGAAAGTATCAATTCTTACTTTAATGTAGTACTTTGATTTTCTACCCCAGGTTCATCTTACAGGTTTGTATTAACTCAACAGTTTCTTGCCTATCTAGTGTTCTCAATGTTTCAAAAAATATGCATTTTCTCTCCATTACCCCTTCTGATATTTTATTTCTATCCCACTTCTGACATTTCCATTTATACGACTATATCCAGTTAGTCATTCAGTCAAAAGTCATCACACAATATAAAAGCAGTAAACGAACTTTAAGCATACAGAAGTCAGGCTAACTGTAAGGCCATGAGGTCAGAAAAGGTACTGTAATTGGTGAGAATACCTTGCTGGTTAAAAATATATCTATTTAAATGATATGTCTATGTATTCCTTTTGTCTATTGCAATCTGTCTATTTGTGTTCAAATGCATCTATTTTACATGATACAGTTCTATTTACGTGATAAACATGTTTCTATTTATGTGACATAGTTTCTCTATTATTTCCTAAGATTTATTTCCTTAGAGCTAAATGACTCTTTATCAAGGCTCTCCGAGAGGAAATGATGCAGGAGGACTCTGCAAGGGCCTGATGGTGGGAAGAAAAAGGAATCCTAACCTCTGCCTTCACCTGAAGAGAGTAAGATTGCAGTAGCCACTACAATTGTTGAAACTGTGAGCAAAATGCCTCCGAGGAAAGCCAAACCTAACATTTCAGATACAAACCATTTACAAGTTCAGTCAGGCAGAGGCAACGCGCTCACATGCTATTAATGGCAAGCACAGAGCGCACCTGCAGTGCCGTGGTCCGGTCTCGAACATTTGAACCAGTATTCCATATTAGTGTGCTGATAAGCTCGTATGACATGTGACAGATGATACATAATCTCTGCTAATTATCATAAAATATGTTTAATCATCATAGAAAAATCACTGTAAAACTGCTGCCTTTGTTTCTTGCTACATCTCTGTTTTCATTTGGCATCATTTGCTTGTACTACTACACACTCCTCTTCACAGTGCAGAATCAATATAGTGAAGAGCATAAGCTTTTCTATTTCTGATTCTGTCTTGGCTCATGCACAATCAACCCATTTTCTATTCTAGAACTATTTATTTCCAGTAATGATTCATGAGCCAGAAAGAATACCACTTGCCTATCACATGCCAAGACGAATTTACAGGAACGGCAATTAGAATGTTTTTTATTGTAGTGAATGTAGTTGATAGGGAGCCTAGAGAAATAATTGAAATGCAGCCTTTCAGTGCTATTTTTACAGTCGTTTTATAACCACACTTCAAGGCTTTTCATCTAATTAGAAAAGCAGGGAAAAAAAAAACAATACACCTTGCCAAGTTTATGCCTAGATGGTAGAATTTCCTTACTTTGGTGGATTTGATTTTTCTGCTTCTGCTCACATTATGCTAAATGATACAGTAAATATCCTATTACTTGAAAAAAATAGTAGGAAAAGTGTTACTGGCAGTCTTTAGCCAAGGCATCAGAAACAAGCATAATCATCTGACAGTAAGTCATGTATCTTATGGGTACACTATGTGCACAAATATGTATGCACTATGGATAAGTCCTCTTCATTTCAGTGCAACCATCCATAGCGTCATGCACAGGCCTGAGGGTTTGTATTCAACATGTCATTTACCATACCGCAGGTATTTGTATACCGCCTAAGGTGAAGAGGAGGACTCAAGGCCATAGAAACAATACTTAAATAAATATGAAGCCATTTAGATGTTCAGTATTTATTCAAGTTCCATCAGCTTTACTAGTAGTTTTTACCATGCCTGCCGAGCTTACGCTTTTGGTCTACAAAGCTTAGAAGCTTTGCCAGCTTGTACAACATAATATGATGCTTTTACATGGAGAATCCTTAACTGAGATATTCTTAACCACTGCATTTTTCAAAATGAACTTTAGAAAATACCAGTCTAAATCTTTTACCTTAGCTTCATGGAAATGCCAACTTCTTATACTTTAAAAAGCTGCAGATTTTTCTCATAATAAATCAATTTAAAGCTTCAACTGCAGCACAGTTTTCTGATCAGACATATGTTGGAAAGGGAGGGACACTTTTTCATTGCAAACATATAGCTCAAAAGTGACTACCTGTTTTTTCTCCCATTCTTCCTAGAAAAAAAAATTACCTTTGTGTTGAGATACAAACAGGAAAATTTCAAGTAACTTTGATTCAGAAAAGCATGTATAACTGAAAAACATGTACATGGGTTTCTGAAATGTAATTCAGCACCTAAAAATACCTCTATACAGTATTAGTCTGCTATTATTAGCAAGACGATTGACTTACAGATTTAAGTAGGATCAAGCTTTTTCTTGTTCACGTAGCAGCGGGAGAAAAATAAGTATGTGTTAAAAAATACAGTAAAGACTATCTGAGCATATCTTGCTGCATTTGGTTGAAGATTTCATTATACTGATTTGGAAAGCTTGGGCGAACATGACTGCTACATGTTCTTTTTCCCTTGTAGCATGACATACAAGTGAAAGTCATCTGGGAACCTTCTTTCATGTGTGTGTGTTATTGTTTTCTGGGAAATGCCTGGTCCTGTCCTAGCCATACAGTTCACGTATAGATAAGAAGACATATCACAGTCCTTCAGGGCAGATCTGGGATATGGCCTGCGCCTGACAAACGACAGGAGGATTTCTGTCATTTGAGATGGCATCAATGAATGACTTCTCTGGGCATCAAATGAGCAAAAAAAGAAGAGAGCGTCTATGCATTTAGCACCTGTAACTATTCCTGTTCAACTACGGCCGCATAAAACTAATCTTAATTCGAAAGGCTCGCTATTACAAAATGGCAGAAATGACATCTAAAGCAGCCAGACAAATCTCTGATTTTTAACCTTATCAATTCAAATCTTATTTTTCACGGGGAGAAATCCTGGGATTCATTTGAAAAGGCAACGAAGAGAGAGGTAGCCCTCAGCAGCTACATGCCGAAAACCTTACCAAAACGAACAACGCCCGCTGATGCGAGCAGCACCAGCCGGGGGAGCGGAGCAAGCACCACCGCATCCCTTGTGCTCCAGCTCCACCTTCCGGCGCCGCTGCGGCCCGAGGCGG